TAAAACACCCCTCCTAAACTACGCTTACTCAATCAACCCCATTAAAACTTACCTTACTAAACCACCCCTGCAAAACAACCCCTCTAAAAGCCACCCCTCCTGAACGACCCATCTCACCACCCTCCTAAACCGTCCTCTAAACTACCCTTATTAACCAACCCCTAAACAATCTGTAAACCACCGTCTTAAACCACACCCTCTAAAGCCACTCTAAAAACCACCCCTCCAGAACTACCCCACGAAACCACCCCTCCTGAACTACCCTTACTAAACCATCCTCCTGAATAACCCCTCTAGCAGCCCCTCCTGAACTACCCTTGCTAACCACTGCTCGTGGACTATCCTTACTAAACCACCCTTCTAAACTACCTTACTAAACCACCCCTCTTGACATCCCTACTAAACCACCCCTCCTGAACCATCCCTACTAAACCACCTCCTGAACCACCCCTACTAAACCACCCGTCCTGACCATCCCTAAACCATCCCTACTAAACCACCCCTCCTGAACCACCCCTACTAAACCACCTTCTGAACCACCCCTACTAAACCACCCTTCCTGAACCATCCCTACTAAACCACCCTCCTGAACCACCCCTACTAAACCACCCTTCCTGAACCACCCCTACTAAACCACCCTTCCTGAATACACCCCACTAAACCACCTCCTCAACCACCCTACTAAACCACCCCCTGAACCATCCCTACTAAACACCCTTCTGAACCACCCCTACTAACCACCCTTCCTGAACCACCCCTACTAAACCACCCCTCCTGAACCACCCCTACTAAACCACCCTTCTGAACCATTTCTACTAAACCACCCCTCCTGAACCATCCCTACTAAACCACCCTCCTGAACCATCCCTACTAAACCACCCCTCCTGAACCATCCCTACTAAACCACCCCTCCTGAACCATCCCTACTAAACCACCCCTCCTGAACCATCCCTACTAAACCACCCCTCTGAACCATCCCTACTAAACCACCCTCCTGAACCACCCCTACTAAACCACCCGTCCTGAACCATCCTACTAAACCACCCCTCCTGAACCACCCCTCCTGAACCACTACTTAACCACCTTCCTGAACCACCTACTAAACCACCCCTCCTGAACCATCCCTCTACTAAACACCCTCCTGAACCATCCTACTAAACCACCCCTCCTGAACCACCCTAAACCACCCCTCTGAACCACCCCTCCCTAAACCACCCCTCCTGAACCACCCCTACAACCACCCCTGCGACCACCCTACTAACCACCCCCTGCAGACACCCCTCTTCCACCCTTCTGAACCATTCCTACTAAACCAACCCCTCCTGAACCATCCCTACTAAACCACCCTTCCTGAACCATCCTACTAAACCACCCCTCCTGAACCATCCCTACTAAAACCACCCTCCTGAACCATCCCTACTAAACCACCCCTCCTGAACCATCCCTCCTAAACCACTCACCTGAGCCACCTCCCCCCAGAGCCATCTCCTGAACCACCCTTCTAAACCAATCCTCTAAACAACCATTTCTAAAACACCCTTCAGAACCACCTCTCTTAAACCACCCTCCTAAACTACGCTTACTCAATCCTCCATTAAAACTTACCTTACTAAACCACCCTGCCAAAACAACCCTCCCACCCCTCTGAACGACCCATCCTAAACCACCCTCTAAACCGTCCTCCTAAACTACCCTTATTAACCAACCCCTAAACAATCAGATAAACCACCCGTCTTAAACCACCCTCTAAAACCACCCCTGAACTACCCTTACGAAACCACCCTCCTGAACTACCCTTATAAACCATCCCTCCTGAATAACCCCTCCTAAGCAGCCCCTTCTGAACTACCCTTGCTAAACCACTGCTCATGGACTACCCTTACTAAACCACCCCTTCTAAACTACCCTTACTAAACCACCCCTCCTAAACTACCCATACTAAACCACCCCTCCTCAAAACGTTTTACTAAACCACCTCTCCTGAACTACCTTTGCTAAACCACCCCTCTTGAACTACCCCTCCTAAACCACCCATCCTGATCTACCATTACTAAACCATCCCTCCTAAACTACCCTCATTAAAATACCCTCCTAAACCACCCCTCCTGAACTACCATTTCTAAACCACCCCTCCTGAACTACCCCTTCTAAGCCACCCATCCTGAACCACCTAAATAAACCATCCCTCCTAAACCACCCATCCTGATCTACCATTACCAAACCCTCCCTGAACCATTCCTCCTAATCCACCCCATACTTAACAACCCTTACTATATCAACCCACCTAAACCCCTCCTGAACTACTCCTTCTATACCACCCAACCTGAACAACAACCCCTTTTAAGCCACCCCTCCTGAACTACCTCTTTTAAACCACGCCTCCTGAACTATCCCTTTAAATCACCCCTCCTAAACCACCCCTCCTGAGCTACCCTTACTAAATCACCCCCTTAAGCCACCCTCCTGAGCTACCCCTCCTAAACCACCCCTCTGAACAACCCCTCCTAAACCACCCCTCCTGAACAACCCATCCTAAACCACCCCTCTAAACCACCCTCCTAAACCACCCCTCCTAAACCACCCCTCCTAAACCACCCCTCCTAAACCACCCCTCTAACCACCCCTCCTAAACTATTCCTTTTAAGCCACCCATCCTGAACCCCCATCCTCCTACACCTCCTAAAACCACCCCCTCCTAAGCTATTCCTTCTAAGCCACCCATCCTGAACCCATCCTGAACTACCCCTCCTAAACCACCCCTCTAAGCTATTCCTTCTAAGCTACCCATCCTGAACCCCCATCCTGAACTACCCCTCTAAACCACCCCTCCTAAGCTATTCCTTCTAAGCCACCCATCCTGAACCCCCATCTGAACTACCCCTCCTAAACAACCCCTCCTAAACATCCCTCTAAACTATTTCTTCTAAGCCACCCATCCTGAAACCCCATCCTGAACTACCCTCCTAAACACCCCCCTAAACTATTCCTTCAAAGCCACCCATCCTGAACCCCCATCCTGAACTACCCCTCTAACACCACCCCTCCTAAACCACCCCTCCTAAACCACCCCTCCTAAACTATTCCTTCTAAGCCACCCATCCTGATCCCCCATCCTGAACTACCCCTCCTAATCCACCCCCCTAAACTATTCCTTCTAAGCCACCCATCCTGAACCCCCATCCTGAACACCCCTCCTAAACCATCCCTCCTAAACTATTCCTTCTATACCCATCCTCCCCCCTCCAAACCTCGCATACTAAGCCACCCTTATGACCTACCCTTACTAAACCTCCCTTCCTAGACCACCTCTAATGATACCGTTATAAACCACACCTCCTAAAATACACCTCCTTATCTACTTATCTTGAAGTACCCATCCTAAACACCTTCCTGGCCGCACCCATATTTTACACCCTGCGTCTATTGAAGACGCTGCTTGTTCAAGTTCTCCTTGTGTGAGTCTACTACCACGACCCGAATAATTTCATTTTTGGTGAATAAGTTTAATTTTCTACGTTTTTCACATAGCATAGTTACTAGGCCTATTTTTGTAAATCTGGCTCTTAAACCAAGCTGGCGTGTCTCCCCGCCCAATCTACCATCCCAAGAAAACCACCCCTCCTCGACTACCATCCCACGATAGCCACTCCTTCCAACCTACCATCCCAAGAGAGCCACCTATCCCAGCTTACCATCCCACGATAGCCACCCAGTCGTCTACCATCCCAAGAGAGCCAGCCCTTCCAGCCTACCATCCCAAGAGAGCCACCCTTCCAGCCTACCATCCCAAGAAGCCACCTATCAAAGCCTACCATCCCAAGAGAGCCAGCCCTTCAGCCTACCATCCCAAGAGCCACCTATCCCAGTCTACCATCCCAAGAGAACCAGCCCTTCAGCCTACCATCCCAGGAGCCCAGCCTTCCAGCCTACCATCCCAGAGAGCCACCTATCCCAGTCTACCATCCCACCAAGAGAGCCAGCCCTTCCAGCCTACCATCCCAAGAGAACCACCCCTTCCAGCCTACCATCCCAAGAGCGCCAGCCCTTCCAGTCTACCATCCCAAGAGAGCCACCTATCCCAGTCTACCATCCCAAGAGAGCCAGCCCTTCCATCCTACCATCCCAAGAGAGCAACCCCTTCCAGCCTACCATCCCAAGAGCGCCAGTCCTTCCAGCCTACCATCCCAATAGAGCCACCCCTTCCAGTCTACCATCCCAAGAGAGCCAGCCCTTTCAGCCTACCATCCCAAGAGAACCACCCCTTCCAGTCTACCATCCCAAGAGAGCACCCTTCCAGCCTACCATCCCAAGAGAGCCAGCCCTTCCAGCTCACCATCCCAAGAGAGCCACCCTTCCAGCCTACCATCCCAAGAGAGCCAGCCCTTCCAACCTACCATCCCAAGAGAGCCAGCCCTTCCAGCCTACCATCCCAAAGAGAGCCACCCCTCCCAGCCTGCCACCCTTCCAGCCTACCATCCCAAGAGAGCCACCGCTCGCAGCCGACCATCCTGTAAGACCCACCCCCAGCCTACCATCTCAAGAGAGCCAGCCCTTCCAGCCTACCATCCCAAGAGAGCCACCTTCCAGCCTACCATCCCAAGAGAGCCACCCTCCCAGCCTGCCATCCCAAGAGAGCCACCCCTTCCAGCCTACCATCAAGAGAGCCAACCCCTCCAGCCTACCACACAGGGAGCCACCCTTCCAGCCTACCATCCCATGAGAACCACCTCTCCCAGTCTACCATCCCAAGAGAGCCACCCCTTCCAGCCTACCATCCCAAGAGAACCACCTCTCCCAGTCTACCATGCCAAGGGAGCCACCCCTTTCACCCTACCATCCGAAGGGAACCACCCCTTCCAACCTACCATCCCACTATAGTCACCCCTCCCAGCCTACCATCCCAAGAGAGTTACCCCTCCCAGCCTGCGATCCCAAAATAGCCACCCCCCTCCCCCCGAGCCTGTCATCCCTTGAGAAGTCCCAAGACATCCATTACTCACCAAGGAAGAAACAAAGAGCTTCAGCAGAGGTGGAGAGCAGCATGGACGGCGCCACTTTGCCCACCACTCGACCAATGTGTGACTCGATGCTTTCATCCTGTCGCCGAGGCTCCCGCTGCCACGTCTGTACTAAGATGAAGATGTTGTCCACGCCCACTGCCAGCACCAGGAAGGGGATCACCTGCATCCAGCATAACGCTTATTATCTACGCCCAGTATAAATAAATTTACCTTTATATACTGCACATGTCACCTTTCCCGATCATGGTATACTGTAGGTTACCTACACGGAGAAGACCTAACATTACATAAAATGTACACTCTCCCACACTTCCAATTGATACAGTCAGCGTTGTCAATCCCAATCTTCGAGAGTTGTGTACCACGAGAATTTGAACCCGTGTCCGGAGCATTCACTCCTCCAGTTTATAGGGTGTTTTACCTAGATATAGACTTTCAAATATGTATAATATAGTTCCTTTACACTATTGTTATTAAGTATATGTTCTGAATGTGGTAGAATCACTAACCAAATGTCAATGTTTCCTGTCTTCAAATCTCTTCTCCGAGCTGTGAACCACGGGAGTATGAACCTGAGTCCAAAGCGTTCACTCGTGACGTAGAGTGGGGGACGGGGGGGGCCGGTGTGTGAAGAGGGTGACGGGCTAGTAAGGGGGCGGGTGAGGAGCGTAGGCGTAGAAAGTGGCAACAGGGATGGGAGAGGGGCAAGGTAAAACGTCTCCAGCTACAACCCAGCATTTATTAAGCAAACTATTAATAAGTAATAAAGAGAATAATGTGGTACCGGAAATTAGTAAGTCTGAGCCTGTGTGTTACTGGTGTGGTTAATTTCATATTCATAAATTACTGACCAAATGTTGTGAGACGCCCTTTCCTGGCCCCCCCCACCACCTACACTCACACTCACGGCCATCAGCAGCGCTCTGCTCCTCCAGAAACGTGAAAAACTGTCACCAGCCCGAGGGGCATACACACACTTGTGTAATGTATAATGATTGGAAAACAAAATATACTGGATGTAATGTACAAAATTGCCCACTGGGAAAGTTGTTAATGCCAGTCAATACTACGGAGGATAAACTTAATGAATTGTAAAATTCACTGAAAAATAGGTGGGTGTAGAACAACTGTATTTAGGTATACGATAGATTACAAATGAAAGCAACATCTACTCCTGGCAGTGGTTAACCATAACAGGTGGAGCATCTTGGTTAGATCTAAGTAGAAATTTTCCTGGTTAGTATAGTATCTTAAGACGTTGCTCTAAATGACCATACAAACAAGCTTCATTGAAGTTATTCTAATATGAATCGGTGCTTACTAGCTTCCTCACCAAATATCAGCAAATATATACAGTATAGCTATCATTTGAAAGTCGTTTACCAAGAAAAATAATTATCCTTCCTAACTATACATGCCACTGCTTGCATAGGCTGCCCTCAGCCTGTTTGAATGAATTAGGAATATTGGAAAGTTTTACATATATGGTAATTTATATTCTCAGTGTTTATTTACATTATGCAGTAACCTTTGAGGATGATGGAAATAAGTAAAACTGAGTCTAGCCATGGACGGCTACTGGCTAACCTGTACACTACTGTAGACTGTCATGTATATTAGTCAATTGCTTCTTAAATATATGACAACCATATTACACCTCATAGCATATTTCTTTGTGCAATTTGATAATTCCATGAATTAAGCATGTATTTTAATTTACTTTTCATAGTTGGTTATACAGCCAATGTCATGGATATTCATTAAACAAATATCAATAGTTCCCTGTAATTAGCTTCTGCCACGCTTTAATTATTTAAAATGGAGGTTAATGCCTCTCAACTGCATAAGAGTCATTAAGGCAAATAAGACTCCCGCTAAGATTTAGACCCAGGACGGGGAGGGTCTATGGCCTCCCCTTAGTCCCTTGTCTGCCAGGACCCAGGTGGGAGAGGTAGCGTTCTCCCTTCTCATAACAGCGCTACATGGCCTCTGAAGCCTAGCGCGGTGGGTTAATTTCCAATTTTCTCTGTAATTGGGGCAGGCGAAGGCGACACAAATATCGTAACAAGTGTTACAGAAAATGTGAATATTGTTGGGCATTATCATGAGTGTAGTGTGAATATGGTCCATGTGAGGTTCTTTTCTGGTGACAGTGGCTGCACAAAGCAAAAATTAGTAAATATTAGCTCACAGCCAGTATGAGTGAATGATGGTATTAACCGACAGGTGAACCTATTATATGCTCTTAAATAATAAAAAGTCCAGTCTTGCTAGCCGCACAATTCCTCTAGCCCATCTCCACTCCTACCCTCTTCACCCACCCTAACCCATCACCCTCCTCTCACACCGGCCCCGGATTGACAACGCTGACTGTAGCAGGTGAAACTGCTTTATTATCAGTATCGGGGAAAAATATACCTGAGAAGTGACCCATCTTTATGCTAAACTTGCCTTGTACGCCATAGATAATAGAGATGAAGACAAGTAATTTAACTGTAATAAGAGTTTAGTGTATGTCCTCCATATAAAGACTTGCGAGTAGTATGTGGGTGGATAGACATGAAAGGGAAAGGAGTTTCATAGGTAGAAGAAAAACACCTTGACCAAGGAAGGTGAAAGATAATTAAGTTCGATTGTATGGAAGGCGAATAAAAAAATCGTGGCATGATGAAGAATGACGTGTATTGCGAGTGGAGCAAAAAGGAAAGGGGAGAATAGACTGTACATCATTTGCACATTCACTTTGGAAATATCAGTAGAAAAGAGAAAATAAATAAACTGTTTGGCTTGAAGGTGAAGTAAAGAACTTAGTGTTGATTAGGCTACATCGTTAGTTCGTGTTGTACTTCGTGAAACATTTCGTGTTGGTCACCTTAACTACAAGAAATACATTATCAATCAGGCTAATGAGAAACTATAAATTCTGTCTCAAACTTTCAGGTTTACAAAATTTTACTAAGAAATGTGCTCTTTTATAGACATAAGGAAGGTACAGTATATACTGTAAGATAGTATTTTTTGCCTTTTACTAGTCTTTGGTTTAAGATTGTGTCATAATTATATCACTGGCATGACTAAACAAACGAAGGGGGAGGTACTGGAGTGAGAAGGTTATTTTAAAGAATATTTTTCCTCAATTCTTCATGAAAAGAACGAGTGGCGAAACGCAAAATAAGAAGAAAAGTAGAGTATAAGGGTAATAACAGAATCATAATTAATGAATCTATTCAGCCTCGTGTGAAGAGTATGACGTGTACAGCCTTGTGGGCGTAGCGGGACTTACCTCAATGACGAAGAGTGTAGCGGGAACGCCAACGTAGCCGTAAAAGCCGAGGGAGGCGAACACTGACAACATCACGATGGTCACCCCGCCCAGGGCCAACGTCATTTTACTTTCAATCTAAAAATAAAAATGTGAGTTATCAGCGACGTCTCTCCAGAAGAATATATATTAAAAAAAAGAGAGCTTTACTGATAAAAATTATAATTAATCTCGGGGACAACTTTAGAGTATCTTTAAGAGTTACCCGGGGAAGCCCAGCATTACACATATGAATAACATTATGTATTTTACCCCGTGTATTTATCCCTGGAATATTATTTATCAAAGAGAAAACCATGTTAATTTGGATTAACTAATAGCTAACCTTAACGTCCTGATGGGAATACGTCACACAAATGCATGCATACTCACATAATACGTGAAGACAGATGTACACACAAGCACACCTGTACGCTGAGCACACATATACACACACTCATTTTCTTGCTTTTTGTACCGTTGCGTGTAAACACTTACCAGTAACCTTCTACAATCGGAGGACACGTTGCCTAGAGAAAGAGTGATGTACGCGAACATAATGAGGTAGGAGATGAAGATGGTGAGCACATCGCTCATACTCTCCCTCACCAGCTCGTCTTCGATGCCTCGCTCAGCATTGTAGGCGATTTCCATGTTTTTCATGAAGTACTCGTCTTCTGTTACCTCCTTCATGAACTCCAAGAACCTTTTAGAATGATAAACTACCATGAAGACCACCCCAGAAACCACTAGGGTGCGAAATTATCATGTGGGACATTTCATAAATCTTCCAAGACAAGGAATTACAACGAGAGATACTCAAAGAACTTTGTGAGTAAAAATATAGCATGTGACACAGTCCTAAAACCTTATATAGCGAGAAACTACCGTACGAAATCGCGAACCTTCTATAACAAGACACTGGATTGTAGGAAACTACAGGAACATTTTGGCTAAGAAATTAAAACTATAACGTGTAACACAGCATGATCCTTCAAGGGCAAGATACTATTATGGGAAACACCAAGAACTTTCCATGATAAGAAATTTGGGACATAAATAACTAGAAATTCATTATTTTGGACTATAAAATGGATCGAGCCGGTCAGTTGGTAATTCCAGTGATTCATTGTGAGATAGATACTAGCCAATAAATTCAGTTTGAAGCTTTTCAAACGAGGAATCACTTGTCCTCTCCTTCCAGGATTATATCTACAACCAGCTGCCACTGTGAACTCTTATGAGTGATTAGAGTGAGTTGGATAAATAATTTGATTACACCAACAAATGGATCTTCCCCTGTCGTCCATGGCTGGCAGGACAGGCTTGTAAATCTACGGACTCCGGTCAGAATGGTTCAACAACAAACATTGTTTTTGCTCCTCAACTACCAAGGTCTTTAAGTAAGTAAGTAAGTAATTACACTAATCCACCAATATATATATATATATATATATATATATATATATATATATATATATATATATATATATATATATATATATATATATATATATATATATATATAAAACAAAGAAGTATGTCTGTGTGTTTGTGTGTCCGCACGAGAATCTCGGAAACTACTTTACCGATCTGTAATGATGATGGATGGTGTCATAGGTAGTGGTGATGGATGGTGTTATATGTAGTGATGATGGGTGGTGTTATATGTAGTGATGATGCATGATGCTATATGTAGTGATGATTAGACAATAAAATAATAACAGTTTAATGCTAAAAAAATATACTTTGCTGTACCGTTGTAGTGAAACTTACATACACCGTTAATGAACTATTGATGGAAGAAGAAGTTTTGGGGACTGAACAGTAGTTGCAAACAGAGTTACTCAGAGACACAGACTACTCAGTTGAAGTTCTGGTGAATTTTCTTGAAGAAAATGAGCCTCACCTGGTGCCTGATCAAGCAAATGCATATGAACAGATCTTGCAAGCGATACAAGCGGAGCAGGGAGGTATGGTCTTTCTCGATGCACCTGGCGGGACAGGAAAACCTTCCTCATCAACCTTCTGTTGGCCAAAGTACGTCATCAGGGGAAAATTGCTCTTGCTGTGGCATCCTCAGGCATTGCTGCAACACTACTAGAAGGAGGACGTACTGCACACTCAACTTTTAAACTGCCTCTCAACCTCGCTCACAATGAGAATTCAGTGTGCAACATCAAAAAAGGATCGGCAAAGGCAAAACTCTTAGGAAAATGCAGCCTCATAGTCTGGGATGAATGCACTATGTCTCACAAGTTAGCGTTTGAAGCATTGGACAGGACCTTGCAGGACATACGAGAAAATGACCAGCTCATGGGTGGCATTACAATGGTCATTGCTGGAGACTTTCGCCAAACCCTACCTGTCATTCCTCGAAGCACTCCAGCTGATGAACTGAATGCGTGCCTCAAGGCATCATACCTTTGGAGAAGTGTTCAGACACTCACCCTATCCACAAACATGAGAGTACATCTACAAGGAGATCAGGATGCTGGACGGTCTGCAAACCTTCTACTACAGATTGGGAATGGAACTTTCCCTGTTGATTCAGAAGGACAAATAATCATTCCTCAAGGATGTGGAAATGTTGTAAAGTCCGCAACTGAGCTCACTAACATGGTCTACCCAAACATTATCCACCACTACAAGGATCACAAGTGGCTGCGTGAACGCACAATTCTGGCACCAAAGAATGAAACAGTGGCTGAAATCAACATGACTCTACTCAGACAGCTTCCAGGCAGTGAGATCTTATTCAAATCTGTTGATACAGTAATCGACCAGGACCAAGCAGTCCAGTATCCTGCAGAATTCCTTAATTCTTTGGAGCCCGCTGGAATGCCTCCTCACCACCTCACTCTCAAGATTGGAACTCCTATGATGCTCTTGAGAAATCTTGAACCACCAATCCTCTGCAATGGCACAAGACTGGTGGTGAAGAACATGATGCCACATGTACTGGAAGCTACAATACTGACAGGAAAAGCTAAAGGAGAGGTCGTTTTTATACCAAGGATACCTCTCATCACCAATGACCTGCCATTTGAGTTCAAGCTACTTCAGTTCTCAACCACAGCAGACAGTGCAGGAGGTACTGTACTCATGTTCTCAATCACAGCAGACAGTGAAGGAGGTACTGTACTCATGTTCTCAATCACAGCAGACAGTGAAGGAGGTACTCATATTCTCTACAGCAAAAAGAGGTACTCACTTCTTCTCCCAAGCGAGAGCAGGACCCAGCTGCTCCTTATCGGGGTAGTTATTGATGAGGATAGTGATGACCAGGGCCGTGGACTCTGTGTACCGAGGATTAGATGAAATTTGATCACCATCATTCAGGAAGCCTCCTAGAGACGTGTAAGGAAACACAGGGCCCCCGTATGTTCCTAGACAGTAAGTTGGGGTCACAGCAGATGGATTTCTGGAGGGAGAAAAAAAGGCGGGATATGTTACTGAAAATCCAGATCATGTTTGCCGAGTTGTTAAAGCTGTGATTTATAGAACAAATTTGCAAAAGTACGATAATCCATACCCCAGAACTACAGTACACTCAGTACAATCAAGGCAACGTAGCTCAACCACTCAAAAATGCAGTTGGTATTGTAAAATGATGGTCATAAAAAGAAGTCTTAATCTTTTGATAGTTTTTACAGACCACGCAAAGTAGGCAAGAAACCTACACTGTATATATATATATATATATATATATATATATATATATATATATATATATATATATATATATATATATATATATATATATATATATATATATATATATATATATATATATATATATATACACATATATATGTACCTAGATCACGCGCACCTACAGTGATTTACTTGCATAAATGGATTCCACGCGTCACTTCTTCATCCTCTCTACAAGCTGTCCTGGACTGTCTCCTTTCGTTACTGAATATTCCTGTTCGATGATCAAGGCCCACAAATTGAAAATACTTTTGAAATTTCTCCAGACAGGCCTCAGTGAAAAAGTTATGCCTAGATCAATCCTCCCACAACGTGTCCTGAAGATGTCTGACCGCCCCTTTGATGAGTTCCAAGAAATCATCCTTAAGAAACATTTTGAAATAAAGAAAATTGAAGTGGATGAAGCCTTCCGTATTGTAAGACAAAAAAAGCGTGCTTTTAATATGACCATACCGAGTTATTGGAAAAAGTTCATGTTGGACTACTGTTTTGATAACCTGAGACGTGAGCGTTCTGATCTTCAAGCTAAGATAGACCACAAATTGGCACTCCTTATTAGAAATAGTGATTGGACTAAGGATGCCAATAACAACTGTGTAGTGAATCTCTCCTCTAAACAACTAGACAATGATACCTTGTGTGCCCTCGGCTATGGTTTAAGTTTTGATGGTTCTAACAAGGGAGTCGACAGTGTTGACAGCCAGAGCATTTTGCAATTTGGAGAAATTCAGTAATTTGACAAGTGAAGAAGTGAACTTGTGTAAAGGTGTTGTGTATGCATCTATGTCCAAGCCTTGTGTTCCAAACTGTCCAGAAAGATTCACCAAAGCAATCCAAGCCCTTAAGAAAAATAAGGATCTACATGTCACATTCTAAACTCATAAATAATCCTCTCAACACTGTCAACACCCAGTTCAACAAAAAACTGAAGTCCCTATTGAGAGGCAAAGCTACTCTCATTAAACATCTTACTTCAACGTCCCCTCCACTGCCATACGTGTACGGTTTAATCAAGACCCACAAGCCTAATAACCCAGCAAGACCCATCATTAGCTCAGTTGGGTCAATCTCTTATAAACTATCTAAATGGTTAGTTTCTTTACTAAATCCCCTAGTTGGCAACATTTCTAACTCTAATATAAAGAATAATATGGATCTGGTTGATGAACTCAATAACTTACACATTAATTATGATTTTAAACTGGTCAGTTTTGATGTAACATCACTCTTTACAAAGGTCCCAGTTGATGATTTACTGGAGTTCCTCATCAAACTATGTATTAAGGATTGTAAATTTGAATTCAATGGAGAATATTATGCTCAAAAAATTGGTATGGCAATGGGTATTCCACTCTCACCTGTATTAAGCAACCTATACATGGAATTCTTTGAAAAGAAACTATTAAGTAATATTTTACCACCTTCAGCAGTCTGGTTTAGATATGTAGATGATGTATTATGTCTCTGGCCAAGTAATGAGGACCTAAAAGCTTTCCTGCCTCAACTTAATAACTTAGCCCCCTCGATCAAATTCACTGTGGAATTAGAGCATGACTGTAAATTGTCATTCCTAGACTGTCTGATACACAGAATAGGTAACACCTTTTAGTTCAGTATTTATAGAAAACCTACTAATGTGTGTTCATACATTCATTATTATTCTGTCCACCATAATAGAGTCAAACAGTCAGTATTTTCAACAATGTTTTTACGTGCTTTGAGAATTTGCAGCCCTGAATTCATTGATGAGGAATATAAATATATCTATAATATTGGCTCAAACCTTAAATACCCGAGATCTTTCATAGACAAATGCCTGAACATTACTAAGAATTTTTTTTTATAGAACTGATCCCAAGCCCACCCATGACCATAAGAATCTCTTAGTATTACCATTTCACAAAAATTTCTCTCAAATTCCTTTACAACTAAAAACCTGGAATGTCAATGTGGCATTTAAAAACTCATGCACTGTTAAACAAATGTTAATCAAGAACTCCCCCAACAACACAATTGGCTGCATTTATAAAGTTCCTTGCAAGGAATGTAATATGTTTTACTTAGGCCAGACAGGTAAAGATCTTGTAACTAGACTTAAACAACATAAATATAGTGTTAGGGCAGGCCAGGAATCCAATGCTCTGTTTATTCATTTGAGGGATAATAAGCATTGCATTGACTGGGATAATGCCTCCTCAATATTACCTTGTAATTCAATTGACAGTAGGAACATTATAGAATCTAGTCTCATTAAACATACCGAAGCAGTCAACATGAATTTGAGTAATGGCATGTACAAACTAGACAATTTTGTAATTAAGAAGATTTGTAACCAGGTGAGAAGGTTGGGTCACCTTACCCTCTGACCTGACTACCGACCGTTGCGTGCTTTTAAAGATTAGTAGGGTCATTACCTAATACCTGACCATTGTGGACCTGATCTCACCCTCCTCTGTATATATACACCTTGTTTTGTACTTCTCCTTAGTCTGTAGTCACCCCTGAAGATGTGAATTACACGGAAGCGCTTGGGAACTTCGTTTTTTCTTTTTCCTTGTGGTTATCAGCATACACCTGGATCACGCGTATACTATATATATATATATATATATATATATATATATATATATATATATATATATATATATATATATATATATATATATATATATATATATATATATATATATATATATATATATATACTGTCTTTGGTTGCGTACGATTTTCTGTCCTCCACAAGTGATGGATCGGTGCACAGTTTTGAAGAGAGAGAGCTGAAATGTGGTAATGAGGTGCGGGTGACTTAGGAGACGGTCGTGCACATTCCCGTGTCCATCCACCTGAGCGAAGCCGCGTAAATGTGGTATTACTTTATAATGGATATTGTACAGTAAAATGAAATACGAAGTCCGTACTCATATTCATACAATGTTTAAAAACACTTCTGTAATTAAAATTTTGGGGAGATACTGTACATTGCTTTGGTATACCACATTATGCTTGTGATTTTTTTTAGGACTGTCTTTGTAATCATTAAAAAATTGCCAGTTGTAAAACAATGTAAGTGGTAGACTGAGTACAACATGATGGTGGAGGGAAGATCATTTACTGTAGACCAGCAATAGTGGTTTGACTAATTTTCTTTACGTACCAAACGGTATTCAGGACATAATGTTTCCGAGCTCTCTGTCCGTCCGTCCATCACGTTGATGGCCACCACTGTACTTTATGAACACCGTCCAGCCACAACCATCAACTTACAAGTATACGGTGGAGAGGTGTAATTCCAGACATACAATACATATTCCATGTTGACCTCACTACACACTACCACAAAACTTGGATGGTTGCTGTACTCGAAATATTCATATTTCAGATTTTTTTTCTGAATGTACAGTTATTAAGCAATTATTGACATAATTGAAAAATATTAACCAGCTTGCAAAACGTCACATCATAAGAACCTAATTAGAGAGACTAAACAGGGAGACAGTTATCCAAGACCTTGAATGGAGAACTGGATATTTTTAGAGTAGTTAATAATTTAAGAAATTTAAAAGCCGAATGCTAATTTACTCCGTGGGATCAACCCCCCACCCCACTTACGAAAAAAGGTTAACAAATGAACGCAGAATTCTAAGTCCGTATCCTTCTTAATATTACTCGAATATAAACGAATTTTGAATAATATTTACAGAAAAATAATTAAAGACCAGGAACTGAGGTTACCTGACACAGTCCAAGAAGTGGGAGATGTATTTGTCGTCAGCGATATCCTTGTCGAGTGCTTTGGCACTGTTCTGCCAGTAGTTGAGAATACTCTGGATAAGGCATTCAGTCTTTTGAGGCGCCAGCGGACTGACACACACCTCGCTCAGCGTAATGTTCATGCCGTTGTGTTCACCTACCAGCTGAAGGAGAATTAGATATAATCACACACTCTCTTAAGGAGAGCTAGAGTCACTAACTCATTGAAGAAGAGTTAGTTAGAGTCAAACACTCACTGAATGAGAGCTAAGGTCACACACTCACTCAGGGAGAGCTCGAGTCACACACTCACTGAGGAAGAGCTAGAGTCACACACTCACTGAGGAAGAGCTAGAGTCACACACTCACTGAGGAAGAGCTAGAGTCACACACTCACTGAGGAAGAGCTAGAGTCACACACTCGCTGAGGAAGAGCTAGAGTCACACACTCACTGAGGAAGAGCTAGAGTCACACACTCACTGAGGAAGAGCTAGAGTCACACATTCACTGAGGAAGACCTAGAGTCACACACTCACTGAGGGGGACCTAGAGTAACACACTCACTGAGGAAGAGCTAGAGTCACACACTCACTGAGGAAGAGCTAGAGTAATTACATTCATTGTAAAAGAGTTGGTTATAGTCACACACTCACTGACTGAGAGCAAGAGTCATACACTCATTGAGGGAGAGCTGGAGTAACACACTCTGAGGGGACCTAGAGTCACCCACTCACTGGGGAAGAGCTGGAGTCACACACTCATTGAAAAAGAGTTGGAGTCACACACTCACTGAGGAAAAGCTGGAGGCATACACTCACTGAGGAAGCGCTAGAGTCACACACTCACTGAGGGAGAGCCAGAGTCACACACTCACTATAGGAGAGCTAGAGTCACACACTCACTATAGGAGAGCTAGAGTCACACACTCACTGAGGGAGAGCCAGAGTCACACACTCACCGTGTGAGAACTAGAGTCACATACTCATTGAGGAAGAGTTAAAGTCACACACTCACTGAGGAAGAGCTAGAGTCACACACTCACTATAGGAGAGCTAGAGTCACACACTCACTATAGGAGAGCTAGAGTCACACACTCACTGGGTGAAAGAGAGCTAGAGTCACACACTCACTGAGGGAGAGCTAGAGTCACACACTCACTGAAGGAGAGCTAGAGTCACACACTCACTGAGTGAAAGAGAGCTAGAGTCACACACTCACTGAGTGAAAGAGAGCTAGAGTCACACACTCACTGAGGGAGAGATAGAGTCACACACTCAGTGAAGAAATGGTAGAGTCACACTCTCACTGTGGAAGAGTTAGAGTCACACACCCAATGAGCAAAAGCTAGAGTAACACACTCACTGAGGGAGGGTTAGAGTCACAGACTCAGTGATGAAATGCTAGAGTGTGAAAAATGCTTAATAAAAAGGAAACTGGAAAAAAACACAAGCCATTATTCTGGATAATCTGGAAGATACTGACCTACTGTAGCCTAAATTAATCCTAGTGTTTCATGTATTTGTAAACAAGATATTATGACTATTTTTTATAGATTTACTGTTGCTGATTAGTGTCCCAGCCTAAGCAAAGGATCCTAGTGAAAATTCGTTCAAGTTAGCTTTATTGGGTTATCCTTGTTCAAATCAACTTACTTCAAGTCTACCAATGCTTCTATACCTTCACACTCTATATACACTGTTTGTATACCTGTACTGTCTACCTATGCGGGATACCTTAACTCCCTATAGACGTTGTATATCCCACACAACCTCACTCACACTCTCACTCCAACACTCTTACTCCCACCCTCATTCACTCTCACACTCTCACTTCCATACCCTCTGACTCTCATATTCTCACTCTCACACCCTTACTTTAACATTTATAAACACTCCAAACCAATAACGCGAACACGCATAAACATTCAAATCCACACACACACACACACACACACAGACACACACACACACACACACATTCATACTTCCCAGTTCACCTATGCCTCCCCTGCCCGGTTTTCCTCCCTATATGCCACACAACCTAGAAAAAGTGCAAAAGAGGGCATGCAAGATTATTTTCTCCACTTCCTACTCCACATACTCCTACTCTCGGCTCTCTCTGACCTTCACCACGACCTTATCTGCAAATTTGGTGAGAAGCTTCTGCACCATCCTCAACACCGGCTCCTACTACCACCCGAGATCCCTCGTCCGCGAATTGCTGTTCGACACCACAACCGCATCCAGCCCATAAAAGCACGTACTGATCGCTATAAGAACAGCACAGTCCCAACCATTGTAAAAATTATCAACAACTCGTAATCAACCAGTGTATTCACTCCCAGTCAGTATTACCTTTTTGCACTGTCACTATCTTGAAATGTCCTGTAGTATAACCTTCTCCCCACCTAGTTATTATATATCATATATATTAATATTATTTATTATTATCACACACACACACACACACACACACACACACTACTAATACTACTTTCCAGTCACCCGAAATCGAGTATGACGGTTATCCAGCAATGATACAATGGTATGAGGTATAAGGGAAGTCACCTAGGTGACTAAAGAGACCGATACGGGTCACACAGCGTCGTTCACATTCGTTGCACTTGTAGAGGGCTCCATCTAGTGCGGGAGGGGCGGTGGCAGCGTCTTTCCGGCGTTGGCGCTTGTTTGCCTCGGTTTGCAGTAAGGCTAACTCGAAAGTATTGACACCTTCTCGTGTAGTGCTCCTGCAAGCGTTACGATGTGGAGTAATCGATTCCCAGGTGAGGGGGTCGATTTGGCACTTTTTCAGGTTTGTCTTAAGACTATCCTTATACCTTTTCAATTTCTCGCAGGCGTTACGTTTACTATTCGTTAGGTGACTGTAAAGTATAGCTGCTTTGACAGTCTACTGTCGTCCATGCGGGTAACATGGCCAGTCCAACGGAGTTTTTCATGGATAATGGTAGCCTCAATGCTCCTACAATTGGTGTCAGTAAGAATACTGGCATTTGTTCTCTTGTCATCCCAGCGAACTCGGAGGATGGAACTTAGACTACGGTGGTGAAAGTTTTCAAGTGACTTGAGGTACCTCCTGTTTGTGACCCATGTCTCACTGCTATATAGCATGGTGGGGAGGACCACTGCTCGATATACGTGAAGCTTTGTAGATAATTTCAGCTCCCTAAAGCTGAAGACACGATTTCGGAGTCTGCCAAAGGCTTGAGATGCACATCTGATGCGATGCTGAATCTCTTCATCGATACCTGCGGTGGTGGACAGGTGGGAGCCAAGATAACGAAAGTGGGCAACATTAGAGAGGGTAGTACCGTTAAGCTGGATGGATGGTGGAGGTGTGTCTGAACCAGGGGCAGGTTGAAATAGAATCTGAGTCTTACATACATTCACTTCAAGGCCGGAGTGTGCATATACATCTACATAGGTGTTCAGAATTTCATGTAGCTCGTGTTCAGTGTGAGCAACAAGGGTGAGGTTGTCTGCATACTGAAGTTCAGTAATGGAAGCTGCCGACGCCTTTGTTCTTGCCTGGAATCGTCTTAAGTTGAAAAGACCCCTTTCACCCAGTACTCGATGATCACCCCGCAGGCTAAATTGGCACTGGCACGAGTGAGGAAGACAGCCAAGAAGATGGAAAAAGATAGTTGGTGCCAGTACACACCCTTGTTAACCCCTGTTTGAAAGGGGAAGAACTCTGACTGGGTGCCGTTGTGTAGAACCCTGCCGTTCATGCAATCGTGGAGTTGCCTCACAATGGCGATGAATTTTGGTGGGCAGCCAAAACGGCTGAGGGTCCACCAGAGAGCTTCCCTGTTGACCGAGTCGAAGGCCTTGATTAGGTCGATGAAAGCCATGTACAGGTCACGACACTGTTCTCTGCACTTTTTCCTGCAGCTGGCGGGCAGCAAAGGTCACGTCAGTGGTGCCACGTGATGGTCTAAAACCACATTGAGATTCAGGGAGGAAGTTCTCCGCCTCAGGATGAAGTCTGTCTCGGAAGATTCGGGCGATAATCTTGCCTGCTACGGAGAGCAGCGAGATCCCACGGTAGTTGCCACAGTCTGATCAGTCTCCCTTGTTCTTATAAATATTGAAAATAGAGGCGTCTTTAAGAGCTTGGGGGATTTCCTCCTTTTCCAATATGTTTTCCAGAAGAGAGTGGAGATGGCTGGTAAGCAGAGGTACTCCTGCTTTATACACCTCGGCTGTTTGATGGTAGTAGCTACCTCATCTAGGGATGGAGGATAGCTGAGGTGGGTCAACTCTGGATGATGAGGGACCTGCTGGGTAGTCAGGACATCCACGTCGGTGTTTCGGTTGAGCAATGAATGGTAGCGCTCTTTCCAGCGCTGAAGGAAGCCTTCATCGTCTTTAATTATGAGGTTACCGTCAGATGAGTGGAGGGGGGCTGCGCCACGAGTGACTGGCCCATAAAATGTTTCAGTGGAAATGAAAAATTCGCGCATCTTGTGCTGATCTGCAAGTTTTTGTGCTACACACACTTTATTTTTAAGCCAGTTGTTCTGTAGAGTGCGAAGTTCCTGCTGGGCTGCCCTTTCTTCTTGCGGAAGGTATCACCTTTGGTTCGAGAATGAGGGTTGTTTTGCCAGAAAGTAAAAACAGCACGTTTATCATCGATGAATACTTTTATTGTCGGGTCATTTTCATCAAACCAGTTCTGTTGTATTCTGTAATAGCCCCTGTCTTATAGGCAGAAGTATTTATATTAATGGGTTAATTACATTAGACTTTCTACTCTATCATTCCTCTGTAACTTTCCACTAGCTATGAGGTAGCATGTTCAGAGACCGTGTTAAGGTGTGCCCACGGGAAGTCGCATCACTTAGTGCTGAGCTAAGGCTCATTGAGTAGCCTGCTCTCTGGCCACCTAATGCGGCAGTTGTTTGATATCCTTGACTAGAGGAAGACGTTATTGAGAGCCATTGTGGATGGTTCCGTCTTCTCTCGTGGGAGGACGTCGGATAAATTTCTGTTCTCCCTCGATGGGTATTACAGGCACTCTTACTCAACCCCTCACCCCAACAGGACGTATTTTAGAAGAGCTATTTAACATAGCCTCCGTCCTCATTTAACACTCATAGCTACAGTGATTAAGTTACGGTGATACTCTTTTTTAAAAGTGTACATAGAAACCTTTATAATAAACACAGAAAATGAACACATTGGATTTCACTACAGAAAATCCAATAAACGTTGATCTGTATTTTAGTATGTCTAAAATATAAGGTAACGTGCTTCTCAAGTGATTGTTACAAGTGGTGACAACCCAGGAAGGGTATTACATATATGGCAATTTCACAAGTAACTGTCATACACACTAACAGTCACCTCAACAGATACACAGTTGGTACAGGTAGAGATAATATTTTCTCCCCATTACTGTGTTATACTACTGTTACAAAGAAGAAACAGTTATAATTCTTTTGATCTGACCGAGGGTCTCACTGCAGGTTTTTGTCATAACAGTATTAAGAGTATCCCATTCAGCACTGGGATTCACGTTGTTTGCTGTTGGGTTGTTTATAAGCCCATGTTCGAGCTGCTTTCTGAAAGCATGTGCTACCGCTGTACCCTCCAGAGGCTTAGTATTAAAACCTCTTCTGGGGGCTTGCTGCCTTCGCCGTTTTGGGGCGACGTGAAGTAAAAACTTGGATCTGACAAGTCGATGATCAATGTCACAGTGGTCTGAACCACACATAGCACGGGTGGTAAGGACCTCTCGGCGATCTCTTTCTCTGACAATGATGAAGTCAATGAGATGCCAGTTTCGATCGTTGGTGTTGTTGCCACGAACCGTTGAACTTGTCAGTCTGCCTAAACAAGGTATTGGTGATAGAGAGGTTGTGTGCAGCACACTTGCTGAGGAGGAGTAGGTCGTTCGGATTACACTTGCCTAGTCCATTTTTCCCTATGGTTCCTTGCCAAATGTTAGCATCTCTGCCAACTCTCTCATTGAAGTCGCCAAGGAGCACATCTTTGTCTTCTCTGTCGAGGTCGGCGTAAAAGGCCTCCATGATGTCATCCTCTGCATCCAGTGTTGGGGCGTATGCACTGGTGAAGAAGGATATGACGTGAGTGATTCAGTGGGACTCGAAGCGTCATGGGGCGATCGTTGATCCCAATAGGCATTTCAGTTAGCCTGTGTAGGATGCGTTGGCGGATCGGCAGAGCCAACTCCATAAATGCGGTTTCTTTCTGCAGCAGGCTTACCCTTCCAGAAGAAGGTGTAGCCAGAAACCCCGTTCTGTGAGTTGACCCTCATCTGGGAGCCGGGACTCACTAACGGCTGCTATGTCGATGTTAAACCTAGACAGCTCTTTTGCCACAAGGGCGGTTCTTCTTTCATGGACACAGATTTGTGCCAGTATCCAGAAGGGTCCTGACATTCCATGCAGCGACCATAAGAGGTTGTATGGTTGTTTTTGTTTGAATCTGTGATTTTGGTTGTGTTTTCGACCGCATAAGGATGACCTTACTGGGTGCGGTTACCCAGTCAGGTTGGGTTTTTAGGCAGGCTAAGCTTAGGGCACCTTTTCTAGCCACATCCCCATGTGGGGTGAGCAGAGTGGCTCTCCGAAAGGGGTGCTCAGTCGCACAAACAGGACCAGATTGCACTGCTGCCTAGATCCCAGTGCATAAACGACCATCTTATCTGTGCCACCCATGTGCAGAATTATGTCTAAAGATTCCCGGCAGTCATCTCTACCTGTCCCCGTCGCCACTCGTCCGTCGTCATAGGACTTTTGGGGGTATAGGGGCTTTGATGATGATTAGAGGTATTATGAACTGGATGATGGCTGCACGTGAGTTAATTTATGTGGTGAGGCAGGAGCGCAGGCTGCAACCACACATCTTAGCTCTCCCTTTTCCTGATCCAGGGGTGCAAGTGTTGCAATGACTGGGTAGAGGGAGAGTCGCAATGGACTGCTGATAGCCCAGTTTGTTGGGTTTCGCCTTAGTAGCCTGTCCATCAGGCATTGCCTTCGTCCGCTGGTGTAGTCGTTGGGTTTCCATGGTCGTCATTTCTTCCACCTACACCGCCGTTGTTGTCTTGTTGGAGCTCTGTAAGCATGTCTGCCTGATGCGGGGCTCCACCGCAGATTTTTCGTTCAGGGTTTACTCCTGTGGCCTTATACCTACCAAGGTTAATCCGCACGGCAGCGGGGCGGTGGTTGGTAGGCGCCAGGACGTGTCCACATGCCAGTGGGTCTATGAGCCGTCCCTCTGGGGCCCACTGTTACTCCGATATCCCTGCTGATCTAGCCTGGGCCCACGAGGAACCCAGTTACCGTGTGTTGCCACGAGGAGGCATAGCAGGATTCTTGATGGTGAGGAGGCTGTGTACTGGCAAGGGAAAACTTATGCAAGTTGCTTCCCTGTTCGCCACGAGGGCTAGCCAGCGGCGGCAACTGAAAGCGAGAGGGAGCAAGCACACACACACACACACACACACACACACACACACACACACACACACACTCACTCTCTTTCTCTCTCTCAATGTTAAAAGAAGGAGAACGAGAGGCAACAAGGGAAGGAGGCGACTCACGCTGGTGATCTCGTTCTGCAGCTCCATCACCAACTGTAAGAAGGAGTCATTCAGCGCTGGTCCACATTTATAATCCACGACGACATCCGCGTCTACCACTGATTTGTTGAACTGATGAGAGGAGATACATTGTTACTTTACACCAAGGACTTTTTATAAGGCACTGAGGAACAGAAAATATAATCATTAAATAAGTCCTATTTGTTAAATGCAATTTAGAAAGTGGTGTTTTAGATCTTGATGATATTTCTATATCTTAACTTGTATATGTTATCAAAACTACATTATATATTAACACTCAGGTCCTTCTTGTAAGTGTATTTGAGCACAAGGGTTTGGGAAATTAAAACCCGTGCACAATATATGATTTTTTTCAGGAATTTAGTGATGATTTCTAGTAACTTTTATTCCCAAATTACAACAGGTCGGGTGACTCCTCGATGAAAATGGAACAACTTCTAATCACTGGCACATCGTTACCTTCTCTAAGGCACTTTCTTTATCCTAACCCAAAAACCTTATTCATTCCTTAGTGTCTTCCCTTTCCTTGCCCAGAACCCTCTATACACTTCCCAGTACCCTCAATAAACGCGCTGAGGAACCTTAATTCTCCTAGTCCTGCTCACGGAAACACTATTTTATCATTACATAGGAATCTACTTTATCCTACCCTTAGCTCCTTACCTTAGGATGTCCATAGTACTATCCTTGCTTTAGGGGTTTACTATCCTACCTCTCCCGAAGGATCTTCGTAATGCTTGAATTAGAGAGTGTTACTTTCCCTCTGGTGGGCGTCACAACTTACCCAGGGGTACCCCTTAGGTTTAATGATGATCTGGGTGGTCCTGTAGAAGGGGGGGAAGTGGGTGTCGTAGTATTCCTTGTCCTTGCGTGAGCGAGAAGACGGTGAGGCCCATAGCTTCACTGGATCCGTGGTCACCTGACAATTTTCGCTGTGATTAGACTCTGTGTGAACCTTGGCCATCCTTACACAACATATTTTGTTTTGAATGTAGTTGGATTATTGACACTAAATATATTAAACTAAAGTTAGAATTGTCAGTAGGCTTAGGAACCCATTGATCCCTGGACAACCATAATGAGAGAAATTGGGTTCTTTGAAAAGGTTTTACTATTTAACATTATAATATATAGGAAGAAGAAGAGCACAAAACCCGCAGTCATCTACGTTTTGGTAGAGGAATGCATCGGTCAGGAATATCTTGATAATATAAATGAATTCCTTGTTGAAAATCATTGTGTAACAGTAATCTGTCAATATATTTACGAAGTTCTGAATTTATATAAATAGTATAACACAAAGAAGAAATAGAATGTGTCAGAAATTTCAGCTGTATTCTCCATAGTGTGTTTCAAACCCAAGTGAGGTGGTCCAAGGTGGGTGTCTCCCTCACTTTTGTAGTACAGTAAGGGCTCCTCCATATTGGTATCTCTCACCCTTTGGCATCAGTACCTTCTCGGCTTCCCCCTTTGTATTCTCCTCATCTCGTTCAATTATGCTCACGTTATTAATCTTTTGGGGCCCCTTTCTCCAGATTTATAAAAAAAAAATTAGCCTTCTACATTACCAGTTGATCATTTCACTAAACATTCTGGGATATCATTGTCTGATTATCACTCCCCCCCCACCCAACGACGTTCATAGATAGATAGATAGATAGATAGATGGACATTATTATCATAAACATATAACTAGTACACATACAAATTACAAAATGAACAACAAATCATTACATACCGAACACTGCTCTCTCGGTCTTACGTTTTAGTCCACCTCAAAAATATTATATCTCCCAGTTACGTAATTGGTTACCGAGAATACATTTTATCACTACTAAATCTTATCTTCCTTACCCTATCCACTCCTTATCATGGTTAGATAACACTTAACATCATGTATTCAGTTACCTTACTGAGTAATGATACCTCATATAGGTCACGCCCACGCTGACTTACTTCAATATAGGTCACGCCCACGCTGACTTACTTCAATATAGGTCACGCCCACGCTGACTTACTTCAATATAGGTCACGCCCACGCTGACTTATTTCAATATAGGTCACGCCCAATGTGACTTACCTCAATATATGTCACGCCCACACTAATTTACCCCAATATAACTTCACTCCCACTGTGACTTACCTCAATATAGGTCACGCCCACGCTGACTTACCTCAATACAGGTCACGCCCACTGTGACTCACCTCAATATAGGTCACGCCCACACTGACTTATCTCAATACAGGTCACGCCCACACTGACTTACTTCAAGATAGGCCACGCCCACAATGAGACCGGTGACAAGGGCAGCACCAGCAACGAGGAAGATGAACGGATGTCGGGCCACAGCTGACAAATGAACCAGCCATCAACAACTTGCCAATATTACACAAGGTTAAGAAGATAATTTTTAATTAATAAAAAATAGAAAAAGATAAAATAAGCAGTGACACGTCTAGTACACTGCCCAGTACATCGCAAGACAGTCATTGACGGAAAAACTATGCCTATTTATCTCGGACGAGACAAGAATTATCCAATGACTACTCTTAGATGATCGTTTTACGTACAGTATGTACTATACGTCAAGGATTGCACACTGATCGTGTGATGTCATCGTATGTTGAATAAGTTATAGTTGCACATGGAAAAACTACATAAAAACATATCCTGATATAATTAATGGGAATATGAACTCCACAATTCTCTCTGTTAACACAAAAAAATTATTAAAACGAGGCTGACGTGTAGGCGTACTTGTTTGGTAGTAAGCGACCAGTTTATATATATGTTGATATTACTGAAGAAGTGGTTGTTTCCTGGAGACCAAAACCTAGAGCCTTAGGACTTACTTTTGCCAAAGCTGGTAAAAATGGATTCGATGCCCTTCTCCACGCCTGCTGAGAGGATCTCCAGGCAGCTGGGTGAGCCCTCAGGGTACTTTTCCTCACCAGAGTCTGAGGACATGATAACACCTTAAAACACATGACAACAACCAGAAATATATGACAATGTTAAACACATAGCAACACCTAAAGCACATTAGACTAAACTTGAAATGTATGACTCCGACTTAAAACACATGAAAACACATATACACATAATTATGAGAACACCTTAACACCTATACGAACATTAAAAGACACCTTATTCATTTATATCCACTGACTATGTTGAACTTATCATGCTTAACCAACATACAGATGTAAAATTAATCAATAGTTTTAAGAGCATATTTCTTGTAATACAAATAAAAATTAATACAAAATAAACAAACAAAAAATTAGAAATAACCACAAAGTCTCTCTCTCTCTCTCTCTCTCTCTCACCTGAGCTACGGTCACCCCAGCAAGCAACGACGATTAAGGTTACAGCGAAAACTCCGTATACAATGATCAGGGCGAAGGTGAGAGCCTCCATAGAGCCCACCATTAGTGGGTGGTGGTCAGGGACGAAGTCGGGGATTGGTGGGCACGAAGCACGACAATCAGAACACATGCACCTCATCCTAGGATCCTGAGAGGTTACATCGTGTTAAGATCTTGTGGGGTTACATTATGTTAGGTTCTTGTGGGGTTACATTATGTTAGGTTCTTGTGGGGTTACATTATGTTAGGTTCTTGTGGGGTTACATTATGTTAGGATCCTGAGAGGTTACATTATATTAAGATCTTGTGGGGTTACATTATGTTAGGTTCTTGTGGGGTTACATTATGTTAGGTTCTTGTGGGGTTACATTATGTTAGGATCCTGAGAGGTTACATTATATTAAGATCTTGTGGTAGGTCCAACAAGTTAGATCTGTAACAGTAGTAAAAGAAACAATGCATGGAGGTCTCAGTGTGAAATTGAGTATGTTCTGTACTGTCTATATACATTATATACCTGCACTGTCTGTGTCCATGTTGAAGCAATGTGAATGTATAGCGATTTTACTGAATATCTATCTATCTATCTATCTATCTATCTATCTGTATGTCTGTCTGTCTCTCCGTCTGCCTGTCTTTCTGTCTGTCTGTCTGAACGGGTGACTCCCAGGCAGGAAGTAGACTTACAGTGACGTTGCAGGGGACGATCGGAACATCGAAGGGCACCATGGTCCACTGCTTGCCATCATCTGGGTAAGTAGCGTTTACTGGCCCATCATCCCATTTGTAACGTAATGTTGAAGGGCGCGAAATCGTTGTTTCCCAAGAAGGCAAACAATCTGAAAGTTAAAGAAGACTGAAATACTGTACATTCTTTGTCGATGTCATATTCGTTTTCCCGTATAAAAAGTAAGAGTTGTAAATGTAGACTAGAAGTGAGTTTGTTGTTGTCTTTTATCCTTTATAATCACAGACTGTGGTGTTCAATTAGGTTTGTTCAAGAATAAAATGGTGAAAATATGTTATCGAAATTGTTTAGTCACATTTTAGCTTTTGGAACGTAAATATTGCTTATAATTGTGGTATAAGAAAGAAAATATTTAATAATCTCTCTCTTTCTCTTGCATAATCCATCCGTCTCACCTAAAAGGATCACAGTTGGGGCCTGCGTTTCCACACATCACCTCGAGGGCGGGCATGTTCATCTCCGTGTAGTAAACATTCTTACACGAATCGAATGTGGAGTTGGTGAAGTCTTCAGTGATGTGGTAATCCAAGGCCCACACATCCACTTCCGTAGAGTTCTCCTCTGTTCATAGAAATAAGGGTGAGATACTGAGACACGCCTTCTCTTGCCTGCCGCATGAGTCCATCCATGGCAGTGAGCTTTTCCAAAGTTTGAAATTAACAAATAAAATAAATGTTGTACGTGGGGTTAAAGTTACGAATGAATTGCCCAAAATATTATGATTTGTTTAATGACTTAAAGACGAGAGTCACGTAAACTAAATGTTGTAATGCTCTACAATAGTGAATTTTGCAAACTCATACTCAAGATGCGTGCTGCTTCGTCTTTTCTTATTTCTTACTCTTGTGGTGTTTAGTGTACCAGCTTATTTTTTTTTCGTCTTCTTGGGTTAATTAGCAGTAGTTCTTTATGAATTAAGTTAAGGATTGTTATTTTCTTTATTCTTGCCTTTCGTCGTTGTCTTGTTCATTCTGTTTTATATGTGAGTTTAAAACTAATACAAATTTGAATTTGAATTTCTGTGCATTGGTTTGTTTACGCTGTGTGAGTTATATTGCTGTCCATTTTAAGGAGAGCCATGTACGTGATCGTTCGTGATGATCTCTGGTTACGGTGATGGTCGAGTCAGCTTGGGTTAATTGAGTGGCAAAATATTGGCATCTGGTTCATTTTGTTTGGTATGGGTTGGAACATCGAGCAGGGTTAGAGTTTCATCTACTTAAATCTAATGACTAAACGTCTTCATCATCAATCCCGAGTGATCCATAATATATTATTCTAATCAGTTATCGTCAAACTATGATATTTCATTTCCTTTCAAAACCTCTAGTCCAATAACATTACTCCAGTGATAAAGGTATCCTAACCTCTTGAATACGATAACTTAATTACTTGAGTAAAATTACTTAATCCACTGACTACAATAACTTAATCCCTTGAGAACAATGATTTAAACCCCTGCGCATAATAACCTAATCCCTTGAGCACAATGACTTAATCCCTTTAGTAAAATAATTTACTCCCTTGAGTACAATAATTTAATTCGCCAGGCATGATATCTTCACCCCTTAAAAACGATGACCTGTTCCCCTGGATACCCAAGAATCAAAATTCAATTATCTCCTAATTACTGATGGACAGGAGTACCTTGTACTTCTCATCAACAAGCTTCACAACAGAGAAACAAGTTATCTTTGTATAGTGAAATGATTCATAATAACTAGAGGTAAGACAGCAGTTGTTTTAAGACATAAACAGAGAATGGTAGGTATGAGACTCACCCATGTAGAGTACAGTGGGTATAAGGAAGTTGGAGTGCCTCTCGGTGACAGGTGAAGTAGCAGAAGACCGTTTTCATGTTAAACTCACGCAGGACACTGCTCCAGGAATTGGTTCATCTGCTCGAAGCTCGAGGTCATGTTGCCGATGTTGGCGGGCGAGCAACAGGTATATATTTCATCGTTGTCGTACAGTCCTCCTGAGGGTGTAGAGTGTTTTAAGATTATGTGCCCTCTTGTGAATGTAGATTATTGTACAATCAAAGACAAAACTCGTGTCGCGGCTTTGTCCGAGGATTAAATATAACTCGTGAAACATTGAAGCCCCCTAACGCAAGGCAGAGCGCACCAAAAGTTTAGCCCATCGGCATATGTTTTCACCAAATTTCACGACACGACTTTTGTCTTTCATTGTACATAGCCTCTTAGTGTGCAAAGGAAGGTAAGCGTAGTTCATGTGTAAATTAAGATGTCGAGTTTCGATTAGGCTACAAGGGTAGATTTAATTCATCGGTACTTAAACTAACATTTAAAATTTTCCTTCTTGTGAAAATAATAAGCATGTCCCCACAGGATACATAAAAGATAAGTCCTCTTAAGAATACAAGCAATGATACAGAAACTTCTTGATGAGAAAACAAACAGATTTCTGACAGCCTCTAATAAAAATCTTACTGATGACCAAATATATATAATTATTAATATGTTGAAGATGTATATAACACACAGTACCTATAAGGAGTCTTTGTGGTACACGTTAACTAATTCAATCTCATTCCCGAATCATCTACTCTCACACACCCTCTCACCATCACCCCTCACACGACATCTCACCATCACCCCTCACACACCCTCTCACCATCACCCCTCACACGCTGTCTCACCATCACCCCTCACACACCCTTTGACCATCATCACCTGTCACACACCCTCTCACCATCACTCCTCACACGCTGTCTCATCACCCTCACACACACACCCTTACCATCATCACCTGTCACACACCCTCTCACCATCACTCCTCACACACCCCTCTCACCATCACCTCACAACCTCTCACATCACCCTCACACACCCTCTCCTCATCACTCCTCACAACCTCTCACCATCACCCCTCACACAACCTCTCACCATCACCCTCCACACAACCTCTCACCATCACCCTCTCACACTGTCTCACCATCACCCCTCCCTTTGACCATCATCCTTGTCACACACCACCTCTCACCATCACTCCTCACCCTCCTCACCTCATCCCCTCACCACCCTCTCACCATCACCTCACACCCTCTCTCACCATCACCCCTCACACACCCTCTCACCATCCTCCCTCCACACACCCTCTCACCATCCTCCTCCACACAACCTCTCACATCACCCCTCCCACACAACCTCTCACCATCACCCCTCACACAACCTCTCACCATCACCCCCTCACACCCTCTCACCCATCACCCCTCACACCCTGTCTCCACCATCACCTCCTCCACACACCCCTCTCCCCACCATCACCCCTCACCTTTCACCATCCTCCTCCACACCCTCTCTCCATCACCCCCTCACCCCCTCTACCCATCACCCCTCACACCCTGTCTCACCATCCTCCCCTCCACACACCCTCTCACCATCACCCCTCACCCCCCTCTCACCATCACCCCTCCCACACCCCTCTCACCATCCTCCTCCACACCCCTCTCATCATCACCCCTCACCGCTGCCACCACCATCACCCCTCACACACCTTTGACCATCATCACCTGTCACACACCCTCTCCACCATCTCCTCACACACCCTCTCACCATCACCCCTCACACACAACCTCTCACCATCACCCTCACACCCTCTCCCCACCATCCTCCTCCCAACCTCTCTGCATCACCCCTCCCACAACCTCTCACCATCACCCCTCACACAACCTCTCCATCACCCCTCACACGCTGTCCCACCTCACCCCTCACACACCCTTTGACCATCATCATGTCCACACCCTCTCCACCATCACTCCTCACACACCCTCTCACCATCATCCCTCCACAACCTCTCACCATCACCCCTCACACACCCTCACCATCACCCCTCACAACCTCCTCCTCACACCCTCTCACCATCACCCCTCACGCTGTCTCCCTCCCTCCACACCCCTCTCACCATCACCCTCACACACCTTCTCACCATCACTCTCCCCACACACCCTCTCCCCATCACCTCACACCCTCTCACCATCACCCCTCCACGCTGTCTCCATCTCCTCCACACACCCTCTCACCATCACCCCTCCTCACCCCTCTCACCATCACCCCTCCACACCCCTCCACATCCTCCTCACACCCCTACCATCCCCTCCACACGCTGTCTCACCCATCACCCCTCACACACACTTGACCATCATCACCTTTCCACACCCTCCTCCCATCACCCCTCCCACACACCTCTCACCCTCACCCCTCACACCCCTCTCACCATCATCTCCTCACACACCTCCTCACCATCACCCCTCCACCCCTCTCACCATCACCCCTCACACCCCACCCTCTCTCCTCCCTCCACACCCCTCTCATCACACCCCTCACACGCTGTCTCACCATCACCCCTCCACACACCCCTTGACCATCATCACCTTTCACACACCCCTCTCCCATCACCCCTCACACAACCTCTTACCCTCACCCCTCACACCCTCTCACCATCATCTCTCACACCCCTCTCACCATCCTCCTCCCACCCCTCTCACCATCACCCCTCAAACGCCCTTTCATCACCTCCCCCACACCCTCTCCCATCCTCCTCCACACTCCTCTCACCATCACCCCTCACACGCCTCTCCACCATCACCTCTCAGACACCCTCTCCCCATCACCTCTCCACACCTCTCACCATACCTCTCACACACCCTCTCCACCATCCACTCTCACCCTCTCACCATCACCCCTCCCCCACACGCCCTCTCCATCACCTCTCACACCCCTCTCCCCATACTCCTCCACACCCTCTCTACCCCTCCCTTACCCTCTCCCACCATCCTCCTCACACCCTCTCACCATCACCCCTCACACACCCTCTCACCATCACCCCTCCCGCCCTCTCATCACCTCTCACACACCTTCTCACCATCACCCCTCACACACCCTCTCAACTTCTACTCTTTCTGTCACTCGGAATCGAATATGACGATCATTCAGCTGTGATACAATGATATGAGTTATTAGGGCTGCCACCTAGGTTGGTGAGTTTGAAGGTGACTAAAGAGGTCGATACGGGACCGGCAGAATCGTTCACATTCGTTTCACATGTGCAGGGCTACATCGAGTGCGGAGTGGTGGAAGCGTCTTTCAAACGCTAGCGGTTTTCTGCCTAGGTTTGCAGTCGGACTAACTCGAAAGTATTGACACCTTCTCGTGTGGTGCTCCTCCAAGCGTTACGATGTATAGTAATCGACTCCCAGGTGAGGGGGTCGATTTGGCACTTTTTCAGATTTGTCTTAAGACTATCCTTATACCTTTTCAGTTGCCCGCCGACTTACATTTACTATTCGTTAGGTGACTATAAAGTAGCTGCTTTGGCAGTTTATTGTCGTCCATGCGGGTAACATGGCCAGTCCAGTGTAGTTAGTCATGGATAATGGTAGCCTCAATGATCCTACAGTTGGTGTCGGTAAGAATATTGGCATTTGTTCTCTTGTCTTCCCAGCGAACATGGAGGATGGAACGTAGACTACGTTGGTGAAAGTTTTCAAGTGCCTTGAGGAGTCTCCTGTATGTGACCCGTGTCTCACTGTCATATACCAGGGCGGGGAGGACCACTGGTCCAGATACATACAACTTTGTAGATCATTTCAACTCCCTACAGCTAAAGACACGGTTTCGGGGTCTGCCAAAGGCTTGAGATGCACATCTGATCCAATGCTGAATCTCTTCATCGATGTCCACGGTGGTGTATAGGTTGGAGCCGAGATACCGAAAGTGGGTAACATTAGACAGGGTAGTACCGTTAAGCTGGATGGATGGTGGAGGCGTGTCTGAACCAGGGTAGTTGCTACGGAGAGCAGCGAGATCCCACGGTAGTTGCTACGGAGAGCAGCGAGATCCCACGGTAGTTGCCACAGTCTGACCGGTCTCCCTTGTTCCTATAAATATTGACGATAGATGAATCTTTAAGAGCTTGTGGGATTTCCTCCTTTTCCCATATATTGTCCAGGAGAGAATGAAGACGGCTAGAAAGCAAAGGTCCTCCTGCTTTATACACCTCGGCTGGGATTCCATCAGGCTCTGAGGCTTTGTTATTTTTCATCTGTTTGATGGCAGTAGCTACCTCATCCAGGGATGGAGGATAGCTGAGGTGGGTCAGCTCTGGATGCTGAGGGACCTGCTGGGTAGTCAGGAGATCCACATCGGTGTTTTGGTTGAGCAGTGAATGGTAGTGCTCTTTCCAGCGCTGAAGGAGGCCTTTTTCGTCTTTAATTATGGAGTTGCCATCAGATGAGCAGAGGGGGGTTGCGCCACGAGTGATTGGCCCATAATATGTTTTAGTGGAATCGAAAAATTCGCGCATCTTATGCTGATCTGCAAATTTTTGTGTTTCACATGCTTTATTTTTAAACAAGTCGTTCTTTAGATTCGGAAGTTCCCGCTGGGCCGCCATTTTCTTTTTGCGGAAGGTATTACCATTGGTCCGAGACTGAGGGTTGTTCTGCCAGTCAGTTTAAGCAGCCCATTAATCATCGATTAATCATCGATTGCCGGGTCATTTTCATCAAACCAATCCTGGTGTATTCATTCGATCTGGCCAAGGGTCTCTCTGCAGGTTTTTTCATGACAGTCTCGAGAATATACAATTCGGCACAGAGATTTGCATTGTTTGCTGTTGGGTTGTTTATCAGCCCATAATCGAGCTGCTCTCTGAAAGCATGTGCTACCTCTGGATCCTCCAGACGCTTAGTGTTAAAACCTCTTTTGGAGGCTTGCTGCCTTCGCCGCTTTGGGGCAACGTGAAGCGAGAGCTTGGCACTGACGAGACGATGATCAGTATCACATTGGTCCGAGCCAGCATGGCACGGGTGATGAGGACATCTCGGCGATCTCTTTCTCTGATAATGATGTAGTCAATGAGATGCCAGTGTTTGGATCGTGGGTGTTGCCACGAGCCCTTGAACTTGTCAGCCTGCCTAAACAAGGTATTGGTGACAGTGGGGTTGTGTGCGGTACACTTGCTGAGGAGGAGTAGGACGTTGGGATTACACTTGCCTAGTCCATTTCTCCCTATGGTTCCCTGCCAAATGTCAGCATCTCTGCCAACTCTGGCATTGAAGTCACCAAGGAGCACAACTTTGTCTTCTCTGGGGATAGAAGTTAGCAATCTGTCGAGGTCGGCTTAAAAGGCCTCCTTGGTGTCATCCTCTGCATTCAGTGTTGGGGCGTATGCACTGATAAAAAAGGCTTGATGTGAGTGATTCATTGGGACTCGACGAGTCATAAGCCGCTCGTTGATCCCAATAGGCATTTCAGTTAGCCTGTGTAGGATGCATTTGCAGATGGCAAAGCCAACTCTATAAATACGGTTTCTCCCCGCAGGAGGCTTACCCTTCCGGAAGAAGGTATAGCCAGACCCCCGTTCTGTGAGTTGGCCCTCATCTGGGAGCCGGGACTCACTAATGGCTACTATGTTGATGCTAAACATAGCCAGCTCTTTTGCCACAAGGGCGGTTCTTCTTTCATGGACACTCATTTGTGCCAGTATCCAGAAGGGTCCTGACATTCAATGCAGCAACCATAAGAGATTGAATGGTTTGTTTTTGTTTGGGTCTGTGATTTTGATTGTGTTTTCGACCACATAAGGATGACATTGGGCACTTTTCTTGTCCCCTCCCTATGTGGGGTGAGCAGAGTGGCAATTCGAAAGGGCTGCTCAGTCGCACAAACAGGACCGGATTGCACTGCTGCCTAGATCCCAGTGCATAAACGACCATCTTATCTGTGCAGAGTTGTGACTAAAGACTTCCGGCAGTCATGTTTGCCTGTCACCGTCGCCATTCGTCCGTCGTCATGGGACTTTTGGGGGTACAGGTGGTTTTGATGGTGATGAGAGGTGCTGGATGATGGCTGCACGTGAGTTGATTTATTTGGTGAGGCAGGAGCGCAGGCTGCAACCACACATCTTGGCTCTCCCTTCTCCTGATCCACGGGGGCAAGTGTTGCAACGACTAGGGAGAGGAAGAGTTGCAATAGCCCTGTTTGTTGGGCTTCGCCTTAGTAGCCTGTCCATCAGGCATTGCCTTTGTTTGCCGGTGTAGTCGTTGGGTTCCCATGGTGGTTACCTCTTCCGCCTATACCGCCGTTGGGGTGTTGTTGGAGCTTTGTAAGCATGTCTGCCTGATGCGGGGCTCCACCGCAGATTTTTCGTGCAGGGTTTATTCCCGTAGCCTTATACCTAGGAAGGTCAATCCAAAAGGCAGTGGGGCAATGATTGGTAGGCGCCAGAATGTGTCCACATGTCAGTGGGCCTATGCGCCGTCCCTCTGGGACCCACTGCTACTCAGAGATCTTTTGCTGGTCTAGCCTGGGCCCACGAGGCACCCAGTTACCGTGTGTTGCCAAGAGGAGACACAGCAGGAGTCTTGATGGTGAGGAGGCTGTGTACACCAGCGGCGGCAGTTGAAAGCGAGAAGGTGTAAGCAATGCTTGCACATTAACACTGACATAATGCTGCCAACTAGACGCATTTCACCACCCTGTGTGCGAACACACACACACACACACACACACCACCACCCCTCACACACCCTCTCACCATCACCCCTCACACACTCTCTCACCCTCACCCCTCACACACCCTCTCACCATCACCCCTCACACACCCTCTCACCATCACCCCTCTTTACAACCTCTCCCCATCACCCCTCCACACAACTTCTCACCATCTCCCCTCACAACCTCTCACCATCACCCCTCAGGCAACCTCTCACACACTCATTAATACTCACGGATTTCCTCCATCATGAAAGGACAATTTTCATCGAGGAGTCTGATCGACGAATTATCAGTGAGCAGCTTGGCGGCGCCGTTGTATACCTTGTTCAGTTGATTGGGTGGTTTCTCGGGGTTAACATGACCCACGTCATACCAAATGCAGTGTCCCCCGTCTGGGATGTCCCCCTAAGGAAGGGTAGTATAAGCAATGACTAGAATTCTCCATTACCTATTTCTGGCTAAAAAAAATTCTTTGTGTGTGTATGTGTGTGTGTGACTCAGAGTTGGAAAAAGTCATTATTTTTTAAATAAAAAAATCGATTTATTTGATTTAAATCGATTTTGTATTTAAATCGATTTTTTAATTTTTTTAACAATTGCAATTAAAATAGTATTTTTAAACCATAAAAGCAGTATTTTTCAACCAAAGCTTATTCAGGATAATAAATGAGAAAATTGGCATTAAGATATTTTTGCAGTAGATGTACCAATGCAAATTAACACACAATATTCTTTTTGTAAAATAAAAGAAAGAAAATATATTCATTTGAGTGCACAAATCCAAACGTAATAATGAAATTTAATATAAATGTTTAGGATTACAGTAAGTGTTTCAAAAATTAATAACCTAACTTCTTCAAGCCAACAGAATAATATTCTATTTTGTAAAAAATAATATTGTACAAGTTTATTTTCTTACATTTGTTAAGAATTACTTGCACAACTTCCAAGCACATTCTATTTAATTTTTTTTTTTTTTTTTTTTTTTTTTTTTTTTTTTTTTTTTTTTTTTTTTTTTTTTTTTTTTTTTTTTTTTTTTTTTTTTTTTTTTTTTTTTTTTTTTTTTTTTTTTTTTTTTTTTTTTTTTTTTTTTTTTTTTTTTTTTTTTTTTTTTTTTTTTTTTTTTTTTTTTTTTTTTTTTTTTTTTTTTTTTTTTTTTTTTTTTTTTTTTTTTTTTTTTTTTTTTTTTTTTTTTTTTTTTTTTTTTTTTTTTTTTTTTTTTTTTTTTTTTTTTTTTTTTTTTTTTTTTTTTTTTTTTTTTTTTTTTTTTTTTTTTTTTTTTTTTTTTTTTTTTTTTTTTTTTTTTTTTTTTTTTTTTTTTTTTTTTTTTTTTTTTTTTTTTTTTTTTTTTTTTTTCCTGTCCTAGGCGATTTCTACCTTGAGTGTGCAACTATTATGGGAAAAATTATCTCAACCCCTGCTGATGATGCAACAGCTGTAAATAATTGCCTAGAAACATCCATTACATTTTCTGTCATATCATTGGCAAAATACTGCCACTCACAAGGTGAGATTTTACAACATCTTTACCAAAAACAGACCTCTTTAAAATGGCACTCCTTCCATGGAAGGACATTAATGTTGAAAGGAAATGTGAAGAGACTCTGCACTATACTGTTCTGCAATGTCTTTGCTGTCAGAGTCAGATGTCTTGCCCTGGATACCTTTGGATTTATCACATTAGCTAGAAAATGGGCAGGTGTCAATGCTACTTTGATTCTTTTTTCAAAATTATCCATATCCTTCTTATCTGTTAAATAATTCTCACATCAGTTTTCAGTTTTACCCAGATCTCTCACAGCATCACTCTAACAGGGCATGTTCTCTGACACAGCACAAATGCCACAAGCAATAGGCTCTAAAGTCCCCCAAACAGCTTCATCCGCAGCTCCTTTTCTTAATGCCCCATCATCATTAACTCTCTGCTCAATTTTCACATCAATGTCTCCACATTCTTGCAACACTTCCTGGACAAGGTTGGGTCCCCAGTTCTTTTAAACAAGATCCACAGAATCTGTCGCCGTTCCATCGTGTCTGATGCTATTGATTAGCAATTGTTCCTGCTCTTCTATACAAACATCCTGATGTGATGATTTCTAAGTACTCTCAATGATTTCTCAGTAATGCTCCCTATTGTTCTTGACTTGCAGGTCTTGTGAGTTAAATTTAACAGGTGTGCAGAGTAACCATATGTTATAATGGATTTATCTTGTCCGAATTCACTTTTTATTTTGCCATATTATCAGCATTATCTGTTACACAGCTTCTTACTGTGCATCCAAATTTGTCTTCACACTTTTTTGGAGCACATTCCGCTAATTTCAACAGATATTCAGCTGTGTGTCTTGATTCTGTGTCTATAGAGTCAACAAGATAAATACGGTTGTCTGCTGTTAAAGTTATACATGCTATAGGCTCATTATGGACATTACTCCATCCATCCATGGCCATGCAAAGTGTTTTCCCACTAAGTTCTTCTGAATAATTCTTAATCACTGAATCGTAGGCTTGATCCAAAAGAGACCCTCCAATTTGATGTCTATTAGATGGAACATATGCTGGTTGTGTTCTGACCTCACTAGGGGAAAGGTCACGGCAGGGTTAGCTCCAGAGGGATAATTATCAGATATGGCCAGTGCTATGTGCGGTCTTGGGTATGAGAGTTTGTTGACCAAACTGGGGTGGTCCATTGAAGAATTGGCGAGGGCCAAGTTAGAAATTGAGAGGGCCACGTTGGAGAACCTGAAATTAAGGAAAGAGCTGGCGAA